CTTTGGGGTGTTCAAAACACTGCATCTCATCTCCTGGACATTTTGATGGCCGAGACTTAAACATGATGTGTCAGGATATGTGGCATCCTGTGGGATCTGTCGCCAAGCCAAGTATGCTCCTGGTGCGCCCCCTGGTCTCTTGCAGCCCTTGCCCACGCCAGAACGACCATGGGGGGCAGTTTCATTGGATTTCATCATTGAGTTACCACCATCGAATGGTGCCACAACCATTTTGGTGGTGGTGGATATGTTGACTAAAATGGCCCACTTTATTCCATGTGCGGGTCTCCCATCAGCCAAGATAATGGCTCAATTGTTTATCTCCCATGTTTTCCGGCTGCATGGGTTACCAGACCACATAGTATCAGATCGGGGAGTACAATTTACTTCTGGCAGACCCTACTCGTGAAACTGCAGGTTCAGGCATATCTGTCATCTGCTTATCACGCCAAAACTGATGGGGGGACAGAGAGAGTGAATGCTATTTGGGAGCAGCACCTCCACTGTTTCAGCAATACTCAACAACACAATTGGGTGGAAATGCTGCCGGTGGCAGAATTCGCTTTTAACAATGCTCAACATGCATCCACCCATGTGTCCCCTTTCTTTGCTAACTATGGGTTTCATCCACGACTTTTCCCTCTTGAGTAAAGCTTGTGAGCCATTTCCTCCTTTCAATGGTCCATGAAAGTACATCTATAGTACACAGATAACAAAGTCAAAAAGGTGAACAACATTTTTACAGAATTTTAAATAAGTTGAGGCTGGGTGACAAGGAATGGCTGGGAGGGGAGGAGCCAGGTGAGGCACCCCTTGATGTGAGTGACATTGAGTTGGCCACGCCCACCCAGTCATATGACCACCAAGCACGCCCACCCAGTCACATGGCCACAAGCCACGCCCACCAAATAAGCCACACCCACAGAACCAGAAGTAAAAAAAAATTGAATTCCACCACTGGTATGGACAGCTGTTACAGGGTTTAAATATAAATTTAAATCAAGCTGTAATAGTCTACAACGATAATGCTTCCTGCATTAAAACGGCAACAGGTGACAGTAAAAAAATAGAAGCAAGTATGTGGACATTAAATATTGTAATGTAAGAGAAGCCACAAAGATAAATTGATTAGCTTGCTTCACTGTACGTCAGAAGACAATCTGGCCGACATAATGATAAGCCATTGGGTGGAGTGTACCATGGGAAGCATATTAAGTTAATTGGATTTATGTCTCTTCCAGTCATGAAGGGAGGAGTGTCAGAATATTCATGAACTAGCAGAGACATAGTTAACAATTGGGGACTGAAACTTAAAGAGAGAGTCTGGGCATGGTTTAGCTCTGTGCTCTCAACTCTAAAAAGAGAAACTGAAAGTAATTTGTTTTGAGCTGCTGCTTGTGATTTGCTTATGTTACATTGAAAGAATCTACTAATGGTATTGTAAACTTTACTCATGTATTATGCATATAAAGAAGTTACTGGATCCTGCTGAACCAGTCATCTGCATGTTTTCTAGAGTTGAACTTCTGCTGCAAAATCTAATAGAATTGGTGCCTGACTAGGTGCAGGATTTTGATATAGTGGCCTCCGGATTTGGAGTCATGGCATCTCTGTAGGATCAGTGGTCTCTGGCTTTTGGGCACATAGTTTCCCACTGAATCAAGCAAGACTGTCTCATAAAGTGATGTCCTCCTTGTGCTCCACAAGCCATTCATCTTCTCCAAAGCCTCCTTTAGAGCTTGGTTCAAACTGTCAGGCAGGACCGTACTTGCTTTATTTTGGCTTCTGGTGAAGGTGGGAATTACCATCTGGTGCAAGGGGATGAGCGGGTAATCACTTCTTTTTTAGTGCTGTTGTAATTAAGCAAGTGAGAGAGGGCATCAGTTAGGAAGTTCTTCCCTGCGGGCAAATACTTCAATGTGAAGTAGAACTAAGCGAAATAGTGCACTGGGCTTGTTTGGCCAAGAGCCTTCAGAGTTTTTAGCGTGCTTTTAGGTTCCTGTGGTCTGTCCACACCTCAAATGGAGTTTTACTGCCCTCCAGGAAATGTCTTCAGGTAAGTAGGAACCATCACATAATGTAGGCCTCCTTCTCCCACACTGTCCACCTGTACTCAGCATTGGACAGATTTTTTGGGAAGTGTAGGTGCAGGGTTGCAGACAGCCCTGTTGATCCTTTTAGAGAAGGACCATTCCAATACGACATCGTTGGCATTGGCCTGAATGAAAAAATCACTACTGGCATTAGGGTGTTTGAGGATGGGTTGGGTGGCAAACAGGCTTTTGAGTTTTTCAAATGTTGCCTGGCATTCCATGTCCACTTGAGAGGTTGCCCTGCTTTGGGTTTTCATTCTCCCTTGGTATTGAGCAAGTTTGTTAATGGGAGGGCAAAAGCAGGGGTGAATTGCCTGTAGAAGCTTGCAAAACCCAGGAAACTTTGTAATTGCCTTCATGGCATGTCCCATTTGAACACCGTTTTCACTTTCTCTGGGTCCATTTGAGATGTGGTATCCCAAGTAATCCAATGTAGCTTTGTGAAACTCACATTTGAAGAACTTCATGTACAGTTGGGCATCACAGAGTTTCTTTAGCACTACTCTCACAATTTTCACATGTTCCTCCATGTCTTGGTATAGATTATCATCTAGATACACCAGGACCCCTTTAAATAGTTGCTTGTGTAACATTTCGTAGATTAATTGCATAAACGTACCCAGTACCCCTTCTCATTCAAATGGGAGGACTCTGAATTGAAAGCATCCCAACAGGCAATTGAAAGCAGTTTTCTACTTGTCTCCCTTAATCCATAATACGCTTCTTGTAAATTTAATTTGGTGAAATATTTTCCCTTGGTTAGGTGTCTTAGTGTGTCCTTCAGTAAGGGAAGGGGATAGACATTCTTCACACAGCTGGTTTTCAGGCCATGGTAATCGACACAGAGGCCCAGGGACCCATCTTTCTGAACAGGACCAGGGCTGCCAAATTTTTGTCTATGAAAGTTCTGATTTTGTTCCTCCAATTCCCTGGGCATCACTGAATACAACTTGGGTTTTGGTAATTTGGCCCCAGATAGAATCTCAATAGCAGTCTGTGGGATGATGAGGGGAAAGTATCTTGCTCACTGAAAGCTTCTTTCAGGTCCCAGTACTCTTTAGGTATTAGAGAGATTGCCTCACCTCTTTCGCAATTTGGCAGAGTGCCAACCACTTTTGCTTTCTCAGTGAGAGGGGTGAACTTGTACAGTTCCTCGTTCACTGTGGCTTTCTTTGTTGGGTGCCCAATTTATGGGTTCCATCTTTCCAGCCCAGGCAAACCCCAGGATCATGGGCCATTCTATGCTAGGGGCTACATTGAAGCTAATTGTCTCTGAATAAGAATCTATTTTCATCTCTAGTGGTTCGGTCATGAAACAGGCAGCACCCTCCACACACACTACTGAGCCATCTAACTGGTATGTTTAATTCATGGAAGTGGAACTCTGAGCCTTTCTACCAGGCTGAGGCTCACTAGGCAACAGGTGCAGCCAGACCAGAGCAGTTAGCATTACCATCTGTCCCAAAGAAGCCACCCTCTGCTTTCACCATAATTGGATTCAGAGGTCCACTTATCAGTGGATCATTGTCACCACTGCTGTCACTTTCTCCAGTTGGCATTTGGATGTTAGTCAGAGTTCCCTCCCCTTCACTGGACAGTGGAGTGAACTCTATGACTTTGGCCCCTTAATATGTCATGGACCTGGATCTGGCCTTTTGGATGGAGCATCTGGAGTTCCGCATGCTTGGTCATGGTGTGGGCCAGTTGTTTGCCCAGCAGCCTTTTCTCCTGCATTCAAAACATTGAGCATTGCCTGGGGCTCAGCCTGTCAGCTCAGCTGTGGGGCCTCCTTTCTTTCTGGCATCTTGGAGAAATTAATGGACCTGTAAGGTATTTATGTGTCTTATAACTTATTTCTAAGTATTGTATGTTGTAGAGAAAATTTCTCTTTCTGTTCTCAATGGATATTCCATAGAAAGAAGTAGTGGAAGAATTTTGAATGAAAGATCATTTCTAAGCCCTTTTCATTGAATCCAAAAATGAGCCAAATCATTGACTTTTTTATTGAGAAGAAAACTACATTTTGTAATTGATCCATGCCTTATAGTAATCTTTTATTTGAGTATGTACTGTGTACTAAATCATACATTTTATTTAAAAATTACAGTAAAGTGAATATAGTTGAATATAGTTCATTTTCTTTAACAATTACAGTTTAGGTCTTTAATATAATTGTAAATATCAGTTTTCCCTAGTTCATAATATTTTTTTAAAAAAACAGGATGTTTAACTCAAATCTTTTTACAGATAATTTAAAATTATCTCTTTACCTTGAGGCATTAATTAATTAATCAATTAATTAATATTTCAGTGCCATATAACTCCAAACCAGGTCTGGCAGATTACAATATAATAAACAATAAAAACATAACACAAAGCAATAAGATTGGATTACTATGTATAAAATCATGGACAAAAATACATCTCACAATGGGCTTCATCCATCTTGATTAAAGGCCTTGGGGAACAATTCATGTCCTTATGGAAAAGTATAAAGTGGGAGCCATTCAGATTTTGGGGGGAAATTAAAAAAAATGGGGGGGGGTGTCTAGTTCCAGAAGGTATGAGATTGCTTCACCTATGTAGCAGCCACCCAGCTACTCTTTTACCCAAGATTTTTCAAAGAAATTTTAATTAACAGAAATAAAATCCTTGGGAGTATGTATATATTCCTCATTCAAGAAATGTTACTGGAAGATACAGCAATTTAAAAGCATTTGAACATAAGCATTCATTGCATATGGGGGGAGGTATTTTTGTTTTTGTCTTCCTACTGCTAAATATTATTTTTTATGGAATTGAGCTGCTACAACCATAGTGTATTCACAGTGCTGTCTTCCTTCAGTATGCAACTGATGATTTCTTTCTATTCTGTTACAGAAATACATTGTGAGGGTTGTTTAAACTATGGCCCAGTTCTATTATAAGAGAAGCATCAATGCCTCTTACAGAGATCGCATCCCTCTTCACGTCGTGCGAACAGAATCTGAACTCTCCCCTGCTGAGAAAGCCTATTTGAATGCTGTAGAAAAAGGAGATTATGCCAGTGTGAAGCAAGTCTTGGAAGAAGCAGAACTTTATTTCAAGATCAATATTAATTGCATTGATCCTCTTGGAAGAACAGCTCTTCTCATTGCAATAGAAAATGAAAACTTGGAGTTCATAGAGTTGCTCTTGAGCTTTAATGTCTATGTTGGAGATGCTTTGCTACATGCCATCAGGAAAGAGGTGGTTGGTGCAGTTGAGCTACTCCTCAATCACAAGAAGCCCAGTGGGGAAAAACAGGTATCTGGGAAAGCTACCAGTTTATGACTGAGCATTCACTCTTGTTAATCATTCCAAAGAAATATCTAATTAGAATCAGTAGGTCTTTGGCCTAAGATCAAGTGTGTGTGAAGTAACTCATAAAGGTTGAAAATGTGAAGTATGCATATGACAGATTCAGTACTATTTTATTATGCTGCTTCTTTGTCTTGTTAATTATTTCTTTAAGTTCATAACTCCCAATGTGGCTAAATAAATTATCTGACTACAGAGGCATGTACAAAAAAAACTAACGTAAAAAATTATGGTGTGTACCAAAAATTTTTTTTTTACCAAATCCTTAAATCTTTGCCAGTAAAAATAATGAACATGATTATTTGGCAGAATATTATAGTTTTCTCAGAAGGAGGAGAGTACTGAATCTCTTCCTTTACCACTTACCTTTTTAAAAAAAAAAAAATCTTATTATAGCTGACAAGACCTATAACACTCTTCTTTCCCAAATTTCAGCCACTAACTTAAATGTTGGGGGAAATCTCAAAGAGGAAACCATATATTATATCACATTTCAAAACCCAATTTCAGTATTAATGTTAGCATCTATTCATTCAGTTTTACATTCCAAATTCTGTTCATTTTAACCTCTGATACAAGAACCTCTATGATAAGGATGCATATTTTCCTGGTGATTGAATGAAGAAATTGGGCAGTAAAAATTATTGTAGTCACTATATACTATATGTCACTGGTGGGATTCAGTCAGTTCTAGCCGGTTTTAGCGAACCAGTGGTAAAAATTCTGGCTGGTCTTCCCCACCCTGCCCAGTCACTCCTCATATTGACTGCTCACCTGGCATAGCTGCTGCTGCTTTCTGTTTGGCTCCCTTGCTTGTCTCAACCACATGGTCTCTGCAGGCCAGCCAGCTTGCCTTCGCCCTGGCCTCCCATGTGGGCCAGATTCCTGCCGAGCCTTCCCTCGCCATTCTCTGCTGCCTCCGATGGGGCCTAGCTACCTGCCTGTCTGGTGAGCTTTCCTTCACCTCTTTGCTGGCATGAACAGCCTCTTACAGGGCTTCCCTAGGGCTCCCCCAGCCTGTTCAAGGCTGAAATAGAGGCTTCCTGGGCCTGATCCAGCTGTCCCAGGCCTCCCTCAGGCCTTCCCAGGAACCCCCTATCTCTTACAGGCCGAAATAGAGAGTTCCTGAGCCCAATCCACCCCCCCACACATCATTTCCCATGACTTTACTGTACTTACTTTTTGAAGAGCTGCAGAAGAGACTGAGCCACATGGCTGAGAAGCCAAAACCTTTTATTCAGAACTTGTGAAGCTGTAGGAACGTGAGATGTAAGGAAAACAGCTTTCTCCATTTGAATAAAAGACTTCAGCTTCCAGCTATGAGGGCCTGCAGGCTGAGTTTTTACCCAGTCTAGTCAGGCTTAGTTTGGATCCAGTCTGCTTGCTGCTGACGGGCTAGTTCAAATGAGCAGCCAATCAACAAGGGCCTTGCAGTTCACCCCGATGAGACAAAGAAAGCAACCTCCCCTTTCACTGCTGCTGCTGCCTCAATCCCTGAAGCAGGAGGCTGCTGACCACATGGCCCCAGCCGAAGTATTTATTTATTTATTTATTTATTTATTTGCTTATTTATTTGCTTATTTATTTGCTTATTTATTTATTTATTTTGTCAAGTGATTATTAGATAACAGGTATAAGTATAAACATGGTTATGAATACATGAAATGGATACGAATTTTAAAAAAAGAAACAATAGGACAGGGATGGTAGGCACATTGGTGCGCTTATTCACTCCCCCTACAAACCCCTTAGGAAAGGGATGAGGTCAATAGTAGATAGTCTAAGGTTAAAGTTTTGGGGGTTTGGGGAAGAAACCACAGAGTCAGGTAGAGTATTCCAGACATTGACCACTCTGTTGCTGAAATCGTATTTTCTGCAATCAAGTTTGGTGCGGTTTACCTTGAGTTTGTATCTATTGTGTGCTCTTGTATTGTTATGATTGAAGCTGAAGTATTCATTGACAGGAAGGACATTACAATATATAATTTTATGTACTATACTTAGATCGAACCGAAGGCAGCTTAATTCTAAGTTGTCTAGGTCTAAAATTTCAAGTCTGGTAGCATAAGGTATTCTGCTACAAGTAGAGGAGTGGAGAACTTTTCTTGTGAAATATTTCTGGGCTTTCTCAATTGTATTAATATCAGATACATAATACGGGTTCCAGACTGATGAGCTGTATTCAAGTATTGGTCTAGCAAATGTTTTGTATGCTCTAGTTAGTAGTGTGATATTACCTGAGAAAAAGCTGTGCAGGATTAGGTTTACAACTCTTAATGCCTTTTTGGCTATGAAGTTACAGTGAGCTCTAGCACTTACATCATTTGAGATGAGTACTCCAAGGTCCTTGACAGAGTTTGGGTCATCAACAAGGTCTTGACTATTCAGCTTGTATTTTATTTTCTGATTTTTTTGCCAATATGAAAGACAGATTTGTTGAGATTTGAAGTTGCCATTTGTTTGACCATTCTGATACATAGTCAAGGTCTTTTTGAAGGGTAGCAGTATTGTCGATGGTGTTGAATAGCTTTACATCATCAGCGAAAAGAATGCAGTTGCTCTTAATATGATCACAGAGGTCATTTATGTAGAGTATGAAGAGAGTTGGTCCTAGAACACTGCCTTTGGGGACACCACTGTTGACAGGTAAAGAATTTGATAGGACACTCCCAATGTTGGCCATTTGTTGTTTGTTTGACAGGAATGCTTCTATCCAGTTATGTAGGTGTCCAGAGATACCATAAGATTTTAATTTTAGGAGTAGTTTGTCATGTACCACTGAATCAAAGGCTTTACATGTAAATTGTGTCAATTGCTTTGCCCTGATAAAGTTGTGTAGTCCATATGTTTTTTCAGTGTAAGAGTTGCAGATTACAGGATAGTTTTTTTCTGAAACCAAATTGTTTATTAGAGAGGAGGTTGTTTGTCTCTAAATGGAGGATAATGGATTGGTTAATAATTGATTCCATGACTTTACAGGTGACACAGCATAAAGAGATTGGCCTGTAATTTTCAACTAGGCTAGGGTCTCCCTTTTTGAAGATGGGGATGACCATGGCTAGTGACTATAGCTTTGGCAAGGAGCTAGTCCTGAAAGATTTTTCAAAGAGGTTGGTCTATGGCAGTGGATAGCTTTTTTAAAAAGTAGGCACATATTCTGTCTGGTCCAATAGGTAGAGATGGTTTTAGATTGCGTAGTGCTTTTTCAACATTGTCTTTTGTAAAATTGATATTTATTAGATCATTGTAGTTGTCTGTGATTCGACTAGAAAATACTGGGCATGATCCATTGCTGTTTTCAAATATTGAGCCAAAGAATGTGTTAAAGATTTCTTTTTGGATTGAAGCTTCCTTATTGTTATGGATAACTTGTTTTTTCTGGTTTTGGGAGTTGTTATTGGTACATATAATTTGATGACTCTTTTGACTTCAAGTAAAAATATGTTGTAATGGTCTTCAACAGTATTGCATCCAGTAAATAGAAATTGCCAATCAAGAGATGAGAGATCGTTGTCTATAAGATCATAGTTGCCTTTTTTGAAATTATAATTGGGGATCCCATCGTTATGATGATTTTTGTTTGGACGTATGTTGAGACAAAAGTCTATCATGTTATGGTCACTGTTGAAAAAGGGTTCTTTAATTTGTATTCCATAAATTGAATTCAAACTATTGCAGAAGATAGGCAGTTGATCGAGGCAGTTGTTAAGTCTAGTCTTGTTGGTTATTAGTTGTTCCAGTCCCAGATTTGTTACAGCATTGTAGAAGATTGCATGTGTTGGTTCAGTTTCTATATTCGTTTAGGGTCCAGTTAATATGAGGTAGATTGAAGTCACCAAGAAAGATAAAAGCATATGGGCAGGATGTTGCCCATGTTAGTAGTGAATTTAGCTTGTTTACATGTCCGATGTCATAATCAGGGGCTGTGTAACATAGTTAGAATTGAAATGTGATATTTAAAGGTCAGTTCACAGATGATGGTCTCAGGAAGAGGGTTGTTGACTTACTTTTGATACAATCAGCATGGTAGTCAAAGCACAGGTCTTTCTATTGTCTAGACATTTTTTGGGTTCTGTGCGGAGTTCACAGGAGCAGTATGGATAAGTCTGGTCTTGAGCAAAGTTTCTTATGGGTGGGATTGGTTTTTACAATGGCGTTTATTGTATGAATGCATATACGTTTGCTGGACTCATTTTTGGAAACAACTCTACAAAATCTAGGGGCCACCAAGCCATCATTGTATTTGAACTCAGGGCCATTTCTGATTATTTCAATGATATCTTCAGGAAAAATGTTCATTGTATTTGAGTTGCTTATGATATTGTGAACTTTGGTGATATCAACTGATTCGTTGGTGTCTTCAAGACCAAATAAGATGGCATTTGGACGTTTCTGATCATGTTCCATGATGTCTCTGATGAGTAAGGGGATATCATTTATGGAATTATTTGATGGGATAGTGATTGTTTGTGGCTGTGGTTTGGTGGTTATTTTTGGTTGTAGTTGTGATTGTAGTTGAGGTAGTAGTTGTGGTAGTGGTTGTTGAGTTGGGATTTGATTTTTTTAAAATAAACTTTATTAATTTTACAATTAAAACAGACAAACAACACGTACATAAATGTGAAAAAGAAAAAAGAAACAAAAAAGGAAAGTAGAAAGAAAAATCAGAAAACAATTAAAAACACTGTTGTACTCAACAGTTTGTGGGAACTTATTTTCAACCTTATTTTATACCCTCTATACCATTTATCCTTGTGCGAATATATATCTATCTTTATTTCTATATTCACTATTACAATTATAACATATCTTCTTCTGCCCTTTATTGTTTAATCGATCTTTGTTCTATCCATTCATACCAGCAATTCCAGCCATTGTAGTACATTGATGTATCTTTTCTTTTTAATGCCAAAGTTAATTTGTCCATCTCTGCACAATTTGCTATT